CAGGGATCAAAGCCATTTTTGGATACCTCTAAAATTAGATTGCTCGAAAGATCTGTTGATGAGAGTGAGGTGCATCAATCTGTGTTTGAGTGTGAGAGAGATAAGGCTCCAGGATCGAATGGCTGAGAGTGAGGTGCATCAATCTGTGTTTGAGTGTGAGAGAGATGAGGCTCCAGGATCGAATGGCTTTTCAATGGCAGTGTTCCAAGATTGTTGGGTTATCCAATTGCTTCCATTGAAGCTAGACATACGACTTACATTCCCCTCCATTGATTTACACAAATAAATAAACATAAATAAATCGTAGACATACGACTCACATTCCCTCCATTGATTTACACAAATAAATATACCCAAATAAATCGTAGACATACGACTCACATTCTCCTCTGTGAGAACCCGAATATAAAAATTAAGTAAATAATTAAATAATAATAATAATTTTACAATTTTAAATATTTTGATGGTAATGAGGCTCCAGGATCGAATGGCTTTTCAATGGCAGTGTTCCAAGATTGTTGGGTTATCCAATTGCTTCCATTGAAGCTAGACATACGACTTACATTCCCCTCCATTGATTTACACAAATAAATAAACATAAATAAATCGTAGACATACGACTCACATTCTCCTCCATTGATTTACACAAATAAATAAACCCAAATAAACCGTAAGCTCTGATACCAGTTGTTAGGAAAAATAGATGATTTTGCACAAGTAAATAAATCAATGGAAATAAAAACTAATGCAGAAAAATTAAATCAATAACGATACAAGAATTTTTATGTGGTTTCCTTAATGTAAGGTACGTCCACGAGATTGAAATCCAATTCCACTATCAACCAAAAGTTTTCAAATGATTACAAATGAGACACGAATGGTCTCACAAACCACTCTTCGATGAATTCTAAATAATCACAAAATAATCAAGAGGAAATACCTCACCAAATAGATGAACAAAAGTCTTCGAAATAGTTGAAGAACACCAAAATAATAGACCCAAATTAATCTCCACTAAAGCAACCAAATATGCACATAGACAGTGTTTCAAAGCAGCCAAAGAATTTTCAAGCACCAGCCGAAAGCACACCCACTGAAAAGGACCAAAACCTTATAGCAGCCACTGCATACCTTGGAAGAACAAAAACAATATACATATATATTGTTGATTATTGGGTTTTTATCAAAATCCTAACTGTTACCAAACAGATTGTTAAATGCCCATTAGGCCTCTAAAAGTTAGATATAATATATAAACATATATTATAACCAACACCAAATCAAATTTAAAATATTTTTAATAAACCAATTGAGTCCCATACTCCAATAAAGAGGTATACCAAACAATTCTCCCTAACAGTGAGAACATTGAACTAATGTGTGTTATTGCTTGAGGGAACTTGGATTGCATCCAAAGAATATTGGATTGTGTCGTTGCTTGACTTAATGGACTTTCTGTTAGCCAAATTTGTTTTTCTAGTATGCCATGAATTTTGCTTATGTAGATTCCAGTGCTCACGTTCAAGACAAAAATGCATGCTGCCTAAAACTTTAGTAATTGATTTTGTTGAATTTGGCTCCTAGTTATTGAACTGCTACCAGTGAACAACAAAATTTCATAGTTCCCAAATGAAATTCAGTTGACAATATTGTCAGCATAGTAACCAAAAAATGATTAAAGAATTCTTAATCTTGTTTACATTTTCCTAATTTTTCTTGGCATCATGATTAAAGAATTCTCAAGTTTTAATTCCTCAATCTCTATCAACTTAGGTTTCTAAGTACAATTAGTACATTTGACATAGGACTTGGAATATCGTTATATCACTTTTGTGTATCATGTATCGTATTGTATTGTGTATAACATATAAATATAGATAAAAAATAAGTATTTTCATATAATATATAAATATATTGCAAAAAATAAACTATTAAATCATATAACTAATCACCAAATTGGTGAATAAGGTATATAAATTCAATCAAAATAGATTTATGGTAGTAATTTAATTTCTTGTATCAACAGGAGTATATTAGTCATTTTTTCTTGTGATTTTATTTGAATTTGGGTTTCTTTTATATGAGATTTTTGATAATATAGTTTATGACTCTTCAATGAGTGTTAGCTATGGGTGATTGATAGTAGGAAAAGTAGCTAATGGGGCCAAAGGTGAAGAAGAATGTAAAAATTAATTAATCGTGCAATATGAGTTGAATGGCGATAGGATAATACGATACAGAAATGTATCTCACGATTCAAGTCACCAATGATACGAGTTCTCGATACACATCTTTTTTCATACGATACGATACATATCGTACGATTTTGACTACACTAGAACACACTATTTCTTATTTTCTCGAATTGAAAGAAACAAAGTAGCTTTTTTAGCATCCCACTTTTCTTGGTTTGCAAAGGAAGTTTTCGGAATTCCATCAGCTTTAAGTAGAGGGGAAAATGCTGCTTGTGCAATACCCTAATGAGATCATGCGATCAAGTTTTGTTGATTGGTACATATGATCAAGTGTGATGGTCGCACCCTCCTACCCTTTCTTTTACTGAAAAAATAAAAAGAAAAAAAAGAAGAAGAAGAAGAAGAAGAAGAAAGATTGCTATATAGATGTATGATCATGTTCAATTCGCAATTTTTCCTTCAGATACAACTTACATCTCAGTTTTGGACCCTCAATCTATTTTTCTGTATAAACCTAGTCTCTTTTGAACTGATTCTCAAGTTTTGAACTCTCAATCTGTATCAACTTAAGTTTCTAAAAGGGAACGCCTATAAAACCTATAAAACTAGGAACTTCAGGACTATTGCTGTGGCCAGCGGGTATAAAATCATTGATTTATTTATCAATCAAACTCATAGATTTCAGATTGACCAACGGATCAAGCCTACACTATATGGAATGAATCATAGTGATTGGGTAAGTTTTGATTGTTCAGTATTCCTACTAGTCAGTTTTCGTTGGACGGGACCCTAAGGAAACAAAGTAAAGTAGAGAATAGGCATCATGGTCATCTGATGGGCAGTTTCACATTCTTGCTCGGGTGAGACGTTGATTGATCTCACTTCTCATTTGAGTTGATTATGCCAATTGTGGAGACATAAATTTTTAAAGAGCAAGGACCACAATAATTTAATTTGAAACAATTGTCATATCATTTTGGCATGGCCTTAGACAGAGGTAGAAACACAGCACATTCAGAAATCTAATCTATGATGGTTGAGCTTATAGACTAATACAGAAAATAAATGGAAAACATTTGGCCCTCAATCCAGCAAAGAAAATTCTATTTGACAAATTTTGTAAACAAGGACAGAACAAACTCCTGTACATCTTATCTTCTTCTTCTTTTTAATTTTTTTTTTATCTGTTGCATAAAAATATAGAGACAAAAAAAGTAAAAGCTTCACTATATGAGAGTGAGGAATAGAATTTCATTTTTTTTTCCCTTCAGTTTTTGTTTAGGCTTCTTCAAGTAATTAGTTATTGTTTCTTGAAATGTGTTACTTTTTATATGTATCATTTCTTATGCTATTAAAAAAAAAAAGAAGTGCAATCCTAAGCTTGGTGGATTCATAACACGCCTAAAACTTTTTGCCAATGTGTTTATTAAATTTGTAACACAACCACATTATGGGCTGCTCAACAAATTTATGAATGTATGAGTTGTATTTATCATGATAAGTCCCTACTATTTAGTCTTTCAATCCAAACAGTCAGTACATTGAACATATGTCATGATCATCAGCACGATGCCCAGACACATGAAATGTTCTGAAGTGCGACTCTGTAAGTAATGTTAAATTGCAATTTGTGATTCCAATAGCGTACACCAGCCTTGATTTGATGACATGCAAAGCAAGTCGAAGAAGATCTGCTCATAGATGAAATTTACAGGCCATAAAGACATGTAAATGCAAATAATTTGTAAAGCAGATTGTCCAGTCCATATATGAAATTCGTTCTTGCCTTTCATTTAAACCCATGGGCACTGCATACTGTGGCTGACAACTATGATAGACATAGAAACTTAGAAAAAAAATTTTAAATTTCTTTTGTCCTTGTGTGTACAAAGAAATGTTGATGGAGCGGATCTTACCAAGCAATTGAGGGAGCTGATTAAAAAAGAAAAAAAAGAAGAATAAGGTTTAGAGAAAGATGTTGGGTGTAGTTGGATAGAGGTCACAATGCACTAATAATTGTGAGTACCAATTGAAGACGTGGACAAAAAGAAGAGAGGTGACACTATTTTCCATCTAGTAATTTAGTATATGCAATATTCACCATCTAGACTTCATAAAAAAATTTAATAATTTTTTTTTAATTACACATACCAGGGAAGAGGTTAAAGAGTTCAAAAACAATGGGCTGGTTTTTGCACCACATGAAAGGCACACAATTGGTTTTTGTGCTAGACTGTCAACACGGATAGTGAGAAATTGATTTTTTTTTCCTTTTCTCTCCAAATAACTCAATTCAAACAAAGTGTAAATTGTTGGCCACATTACTAGACAAAAGACACAATTGGTTTTTGTGCTAGATTGTCAACACGGATAGTAAGAAATCGATTTTTTCCCGTCTTGCTCTCAAAATAACTCAATCCAAACACAGTGTAAGTTGTTGGCCACACTATTAGACAAAACACACAATTGGTTTTTGTGCTAGATTGTCAACACGGATAGTGAGAAATCGATTTTTTCCCTTTCCTCTCCAAACAAAGCAATTCAAACAAAGTGTAACCTGTTGGCCACATTACTAGACAAAACACACAATTGGTTTTTGTCCTAGATTGTCAACACAGATAATGAGAAATTGATTTTTTTTCCCTCTTCAAATAACTCAATTCAAAGAAAGTGTAAGTTGTTGGCCACACTATCAGACAAAACAGACAACTGGTTTTTGTGCTAGATTGTCAACACAGATGGTGAGAAATCGTTTTTTTTCCTTTCCTCTTCAAATAACTCAATTCAAACAAAGTGTAAGTTGTTGGCCACACTGCCAAACAAAACAACCAGGTACTAACTAGGCCACTGTTATGCTCAAAGCCTTCTCACAACTCAATAGCATAAAATATTCTAAACACAAACACTACTGGGGATGGAAGAGATGCAGCAAAATCCATAAGACACTGGCAGCTGTGTATGGCCTCGGTAATTTATTTTATAATTAGTTCTATGACATTAGTATTATAAATTATATATAATATCTTGATATTTAATCAGAACTATTAATCTTTTTTTGAATTTTTTATTTTCCATCTCTCCCACCCACCATGTCAATCTTGCTAACAGTCACCTATTCCTTTTCAATCATCAACCTACTACTCATCAATGCATAAGATCCCGCTTGGAAACTTGATTTTATAATAATCTTCAAAATGCAGAGAAGCTTGTGGACTGATTATGATTTGCACAAGTTAAGACATATTTAACCAACTTTCACTTATTGTAACAGTAACAAATGTAGAGGCTATATGAGTCGAGATTTCTGTCAAAAGCAGTGTCACAATTGACCTAGTCCAATGAATTTACTACAAGAAAATCCCAACTTTGCCTTGCTTTAGCTTTCCAGTGACTTTAGTGCAAGAAAATTCTTAAACTATCATCAAAATGACCTGAACTCTACTGTAGTTAATCTGTTAAGCAATCCTCGTTTGTAGTTTGACTATGCAAAATGATGAATTTGGGCTTGCTTTGCCTGTTAGTCCTGGGAGCATGAAAGTGGGAAGAAAATAACAATAGTTTTTCCGAAAATAGTGATGATTTGATCACTTGGTTCAGGATTCCATAGATTTCATGAGAAAATCTCTGTTCAAATAGTCGACATATCTATACCTTTTATTTTCAATGTCATTGTCCATTTACCAAACTTTTAGAGATTTGAAAGAATTTGAAATCCAAATTCAAGAGCTTACAGTGCACACTGGCTAATAGTATTATTACTAATGTCGGTACTCTATTTCAACAGATGGAGGGCAATAAGGACATCATGGTGGTGGCAAGTCCATGTTATCTTGCACAATGTTATTATTCATGCCGATTATCTCTACAGCCATGGAGTTTGCTCATAGCCGCTTTATCTTTAGTCCGGTTTGCAGCATTTTCCCGTATCTCTTCTTCTAATGGAGAGGCCTACTTTCCTTTTGATATCGAGTGATGCTACTTGACAGTATCTAGTCAATCTACTGTTAGCTTTCACAGCCCCCTCTCTGTATCAATTATCATCAATGATGCCTCTTCTATCTCTTCTCAACTATCATCAACAATGCCTCTGCTTTGCCTCATATTTCGAATAGTAAGCAAACTTCAATTTGTAACTCTTCATTTACAGTAAGAAATGAATGGACTATATTCATTGTTTTTCTTTTCATCTATTTTTAGTGATTTTTTTCTTAATATTTGAGTCAATTTATTTTATTTTTTAGATGCAAAACTGATTACATGCATTTAAAAACTACAAAGAATTGATTAAAATATAAACAAAAACTCATCTAAAAATAATTTTCAATTTCTTATTGTAGGTGTTGAATGTTTTGCTACAGTAATAACTTCTACTTTTAACAATCAAAAAATGAAGATTTGCAAACTATTTGGATTAGACAGTGAGGAAAAAAAATGTGTTATCTCACTTAGGCAAAAAAAGAAAATAAATGATTGTGTTTTCTAACTATCATGTTTGGATGGATGACAAAGGAAAGCATGTAAGTAGGGATGGTCATGGGTCCGGTGTGGGATAGGATGGTCACATGATGTGAGAGAAGGATATGAGTGTGAACTTTTTTTTTTTCTTTTGTATTTTAAGTGACATTCTTAATATTATAAACATTTTACAATCAATGAAAATAAACGATTATGTTTTCTAACGATCATGTTTGAATTGATGACAAAGTAAAACATGTGAGAGAAGAATATGAGTGTGATTTTTTTTTGCTTTTGTATTTTAAGTGAGATTCTTAATATTATAAATATTTTACAATCAATCAAGTTATTTCTCATCGTAATTATAATCCTATGCATTAGCGTTGAATTTTTAGCTTGAAAAAAATAGTACAATATATATATTTTTGATCAGCAAATGTTAGTTGTTAGTTGTTAGATTAGCACCTATGGGAGAAAATCTCCCCATCCTTGGCAAAGCACCTAAATACTTGCACTCCCTTAATTCAAATCCCTTAAAGGGAATTGAACCCATGACTTCCTTAAGATTAAGTCTTAAGGAAGGCATGGTGGCCAACTAGGCTAGGCCTAGTTGGTTAAAAAATAGTACAATATGACGACTAACTTTTAAAATACCAAACTTGCAGTAGGTTTTGTTAATTCTATTTCATCACCAACAACATTAAGAAGATCTAATTTGAAACAAAAGTATCATTTTTGTGATGCTCGGGTACGTAAAACCGCCTCGTTCCGCTTTGATTTATGTTGACATTATTTTGTTAGAGTGTTGGGTTTAATGTGAGGCCTTGTCAACCGTCTAAAATTGTCATTTTTGAAAAATTTTCTCGAAATTCTCGTTCTTATCTATTCCGGTGTCGAGATTCCACTTGTTCAAGAGGCATGAGGTTGGATCCGGGAGTTTTTTGCATAGCTGGGGAGGTTTCTGGTTGGAAGGCAGAGCCATACGTGAGGGGAGCTTGGGCCACACATGCTGAAGAGGGGCCGCACCTGCGAAAAATAGGGGTGGTCTTGGTGCAAGATTGCTTTATATGCACGTGCGGATGGGGGTGCCGAACGTATGGAATAAGCTGAGTTTGAAAAATCTGCTTTTCTTTCTTCTTGGGCTGAGTGTATATCACTTTTACACATTTCTCTCTCTTTCTAAAACACTTTTCTTTCACTTCTCACCACATTTCCTACAACAAACTAGATTAAATCCTTGATTTCTCCAAATCCATTAACATTTTGACCCTAGTTCCTTGATCAAAGTTGGAGAACTCTTTGAGGGCTACATTGTGTATGGTGGAGATCGAATTTCAACACCGTTAATTTTGGGGGTTTCATCTCATTTTTTCTTCAAAATTTGAGGTAGAGATTTTCTTAAAGTTATATATATATATATATATTTTTTGTTTTTTGCAAGAATTTGTTGATTTGGAACTCTTTTGGGAAGTATAGAAACTTTGATTTTGACTCATGTGTTGTGAAAGATTTTTAAAGTGAGTTTCCATAATGTTTTTCTAAAAATCCTTGGGATTGTGAGTTATATTATTGTAGAGAAGTGTTAGCTTGAATTAATTCCTTTCAAAATGAGGTGGAAAACCTAGTTATGGAAACCCTAGAGTTTTGGGAAATTTTGAGAAAATGTGGTGGTGTTATGGAATTGATATTTGACCAATATTATGACAAATGTTGCCATGAGGAATTTCATGGTATATGAAAATTAGTGGGTTTGGAAGTTTGTTGTTCAAAATGTTGATATAGTCATGAAATGACTAAATTATTGAGAATGTATGAAGTGTGAAAATGTTGCTACTCTTCAACGGATTTAAACAAATATATGGTTGTCTTGTGAAATGGCATTGGAAAGAGAAATGGGAATTGTGATCACAATGGAAATATTGTGTGGAATAATTGAAAATGGAAGAACGTTTCATGGCATTGAGAACTGTTGCATTGGCATATCCATTCTTTCGGTTGTCACGAACTTTAAATTAAGATATGAAAACTTTTGCATTGAGAAAGTGAAAATCTTGCATTGAATTGTGAGGGTAAATACGTTGGTAAGTTCGGATAAAGGGTGTAGATGAAATTGATTAAATTGGCCTGAGTGTCCAGGGTGAAAGATTGAAAACATGCGCAGAGGAGGTACCACGTGCCTTCCAGTTAGCTACCGGTAAAGTGGAGTTTTGGTAGTGCTAGTTATGCCTACATGCAGACACTAACCTAGGGATTACCCGAGTCGTATTTACCGCCCCTCGAACTTGATTTAAAATTATTAAATTGTTGAACTTCCAAGATTTCATTGTGTATGATGGTTTTCAAAAAGATGAAGGTGTAATCTTCTTCTAAAAGCATGGCATGCCATATACATTTCATCTTATGAGAATTGTATAAAATATATATACTTTGTTAAGAAGTTCTTACTAGGCTTTATGCTCACCCTATGGGATTTTGTGCAAGAAAAGATGTGGTGATTCCGCTTAACTAAGGGCGTGGATGTTATGTTGCGAGCACAAGGCTCTTGTTTTGTTGTGATTATATTTTTGCAAGCCAATGGCTATATTTGTATGGGTTTGAGCAACCATTTTGTGTAATCGGGTTTAAGCCTTGGACTATGTAGCCTTTGAGGGCACTTATCTATTTTGACTAGATGTTTTACATGCTATAAATTCATGTACTGATGTCATTGAATTTATATCCGCATGTGGAACTATTTTGAAAACATCTTTTGATCATGTATTCAAGTGTTGGAGTTTTAGTTTTGTTATTGTAAGGAGCAGTAGTTGTTGTATTCTTATTGTGTATTTTTCTGGGGCGTTACAATTTTATACTTTCACTCTCTTTTTATGTATATATAAGTATGCTTATGTATGTGTTTTTCTTCTTAATTCATTGGAATATAAACAAAGTGGGTACTAATTTTTCTCTATCTTTATTTATATATCTATTTTCAAGTTTTTACAGAAGTGAATTATTTCTTATTATGTGACATTGTAGAATAGAAAACTATATCTCTAATTAAGTGTAGTCATCTTTCAAAAGCACATGTGTCGGTTCAATGACGTGGAGTGGATCCCTCAAGTATTCTCGTAGCATCGATACATGAAAGACGTTATGCACATGTTCCATTACTGGGGGTAAGGCTACCCGATACGATACCAGATTGATCTTTTCGAGGACTTCATAAGGTCCAACATACCTTGGCGCCAATTTGCCCTTAACACCAAACCGAGTTTGACCCTTCATCGGGGTCACCTTAATGAACACATGATCTCCAACTTCATATTCCCTATCTCTTCTTCAAACATCGGCATAGCTCTTCTGCCGACTCTGTGCAGTTTTCAGACGCTGCTGTATCAGTTTCACTTTCTCGGTCGTTTCTTGCACAAGTTTTGGTCCCAATAAAGGTCTGTCACCTACTTCAGCCTAACATATCGGAGAGCGACACCTTCTTCCGTACAAGGCTTCGTAAGGAGCCATTCCAATACTTGAATGGTAACTGTTGTTGTATACAAATTCAGCTAATGACAAGTAGGTCTCCCAATTCCCCTGGAAGTCTAACACACACATTCTGAGCATATCTTCTAGAGCTTGGTTAGTCCGTTCAGTTTGTCCATCTGTCTGTGGGTGATAGGCACTACTCAGTCTCAGTTCAGTCCCCAAAGCCTGTTGCAAACTCTGCCAAAACCTCGACACAAACATTGAGTCCCTGCCAGACACAATAGATACTGGCACTCCATGCAATCTCACAATTTCAGTCATATAAATATTGGCCAATTTATCCGCATTATAAATAGTTTTGACAGGCAAAAAATGGGCAGACTTAGTTAATCGATCAACTATAACCCAAATAGAGTCCATACCTTGGGAAGAGCGAGGCAATCCCACAATGAAGTCCATGGTAATGTGCTCCCACTTCCATTCCGGTATTGGGAGTGGTTGTAGCAAACCAGCGGGTCGTTGATGTTCAGCTTTAACCTGTTGGCAATGTAGACATCTAGCCACGAAATCGGCAATACTCTTTTTCATTCCAGGCCACCAAAAATTCTGTTTCAAGTTGTGATAGATTTTCGTGTTCCCCGGGTGCATGGCAAACTTACTGTTGTGAGCTTCGATCATAACACGTTTTCTCAAATCACAACAATCGGGTACACAAAGACGGTCTTGAAATTTCAACACATCATTCTCAAACACAAATCCTGGCCTCGGCTTCAAATCAAATTCCTCCGTGATCTTTTTCAAGTATTCATCCTCGCACTGTTTCAGTTTGATCTTGTCAAGAATTATAGGTTGAGCGGTAATAGCAGTTGACAACCCACCTTGTTCTAGGTCAATCGGCCATTCTTTTCGGTTGGACAACAAACATGACAGATTTGCACTGGATTTTCGGCTCAAGGAATCTGCTACGGTATTAGCCTTTCCTGGATGATATAAGATTTGCAAATCATAATCTTTGATTAGTTCTAACCATCGCCTCTGTCTCATGTTCAATTCCTTTTGGGTGAAGAAATATTTCAAGCTTTTATGGTCTGTATATACCTCACAAGTTACCGAATACAAATAGTGACGCCATATTTTCAAAGCAAACACCACAGCTGCTAATTCAAGATCGTGTGTTGGGTAATTCTTTTCATG